GCCCTCCGTCGCCGCCCTCTGTTGTCGTCAAAAAGCCCGTGCGTTCTGCAAATTCCGTGGTGAATCGTAAATCTTCGTGAGTGGCCTTTTGTTCCCTCTTCTTCTCGTTGATTCTGACTTTATTTCTCCAGGTTAGCCAACCAGACTTCCTCTGAGGAATCCGCCAGCGAGTCCGCGTCCGAGACGCAAGACTCGTCCTCCTCGCGAGTTTCCTTCGCCGGTCGTCGTGCCGCATCGACATCTTCTGACGATCTTCCATTGTCCCGCGTCGTTTCCAGTCCCATGGGCAAGTCTCGCAGGAAACCGATGTTGATGACGACGATGTTGTTATGGAGGAGGAGGACGTCGGGGAGGCCTCCGCGCCTGAGGTACGAGAGACGAAGAAGGGGAGTAGGGGAAAAAGAAGAAGCCAAGGTGAACTTGAAGCTTGGCGAGCCCCCCTCCAAGGCGCCTTCTAAACCGAAAAAGCTTTCTCAAATCGCCGCCGAGCGGTCGGAGTCGCCTGTCGCGCCCAAGGCTCCACCTGTCGGGGTCAACGCCTCTGAATATATCGTGACCGATCTCGAGGAGTGCGCGGCTGGGGTAGATTTGGAGTGGGCGAAGATTAAATTCCCGGTTTCCTTTGACGATTCCACCGTTCGCCCATACCGTACCGACTACCGACTCCGAGACCAGTTTTTTTTCCAGCACCGTTTTACCGACAACCGACACCGTTACCGACACCGTTTCCCCAGCTCTATTACCCCAGCTCCGTCACCCTGTTCCCCAGATTCTGCTCTGCTTCCTCCGAATTCTTTTTTACTACTTTGGGCTGCAAAATGGACGACGATACACTCAACTATCCGGTCCCTGACGGCCTCGACCCCCTTTTTCGCGCGCAATGTGACACTGCTGGCGACTTTATGCCAGCCTACGAGCGCGCCGTGCTTTTCTCCGCCACGATGGACAGCCAGATGTCGTACCTGTGGCAACAGGCCCTCGAGATCGGATTTCGAGCTGGAGGCAGCGGCGGCTCGCTCGAGCGTGCCCCGTTCGACGACTACTCCTTCGGGCACGACGAGGGTGTCAAGGAGGGCCGCACGAGCGGTTTGCGCGATGGGAAGAAGAAGGACGAAGACGGCAGGCCCAGGGCTTGAAAGAGGGTGAGATTCTTGGGTTTGAGAAAGGCCTGAGCGAGGGGAAGCGACTGGGTTTTGTTGCTGGGAGGGAATTTGAGAGAAGCAAGCTGCAAAGCTGAGTAAACCAATTCCATCCGAACGGACCCTCGTCGACACCGGAACGGACTCACCTCCTACCGAGCTATCCCTGCCCCTCGCTCCCTCGATGTTCAGTTATTCCTCCGTCTGCGTGCAGACAGATGTGCAGTGCGACACTACCATCAGCACCGTACCTCTCGTCTGGGCAGACGAGCCCCTCGATTACGTGTTGTGGGGCAAATCAACCTCCAGCAACTACCTCCCCGAGACTTCTCTGCGCTCCGCTCAGATTTGGTCACCTCGACAACCGTTTGCGACCTTGCGATACCGGCTCATCGCACACAAAATCTTCGCGATACAGCCGCGTTCCCGGACGAGTACAAGGATTCCGCACCCCCCGCGGACTATGTGTGGCCCCGTCTCGTCTTTGTACCGAAAAACTCCCGCGTCGGCCCCCTCCGCAAGTTTGACACCGAATCCGCCTGCGAGTACATGCGCGTCCTCCGCATCGAGCACCCCGACTTCATTCGCTCTCCTGGTTGTACCGACGTTGAGTTGATTTCGCCCATCAGGGGTTCCTTCTCATGGCGCCTGGCTGCGACCTCTTCCCCGGGGGAAAATCCGTCCGCGAAACCCTCTCGCGTTTCAATGGTTTCAATATTGCCTTCCAGTGCATTCGATATCGCGTTCCTCGAATCCTGCCGCCTGGTCCCTTCCCGGAAGATCCTTCCCATCCTTTCTTTCACGATCCCGACGACCCTGAGCCGCTCGAGCCGTCGACAGATACCAAGCCTTATCCATCCTTCGTCGACCAATCTTGTTTTACGATGGCGGAGCGCAGCGCGAAGAAGGCGGAATGGCGGAATCTTTCGTCGGCCCACAATTCGTCGGAGGCGGAGCGCGTTCGCAAGAACGTCGAGAATTACGAGGCCGACCATGGCGCCTGGGAGATACGGGCTTCCATACGCGTCGACAAGGCCCGGGAACGCGAGGGACGCCAAACGCAGGTTATTTCGGAGTACAACCGTCGTCGCGAGCGCGCCCTCAACGACGCCCAGGCTGCGTTTAACACTGCTGGCGCGTATCTTGTCTTCCTCGTCACCGAGGACCTTCGTCGGAACCGCCTTGCCGAAATAAAGGAAACCAGCGTCACCGCCGAGTCCGATCCAGCCTGGCTCCCGCAGCGCTGCCGTGGCTCGACCGTTCTTCATCCCGCGGTAGAGGCGCTTACCGAGGCGGACCTCCCCCGAGCCGTACTTGACGAAGTCCTTGGGCCGAAAGGCTTCAAGGAAGATCTTTCCAAGTACGATTTGTCGACTCTAGTGACGATCCTTCGGGTGATGAAGATCCAGGGGTACGAGATCGGGGAGAAGCGCGCCGAGCAGTATATCGACCTGTACATCGGCCCCCGCAACGAGTACAATCCCGACGAGTGGCACAAGGCCAACCTCCCTTTCGATCTTCACGGGGGTACCGGCCGTCGCGTTCGTGGGTGGTCGGTTGACGCGGAAAGTTCTTCCTATGTTGAGGTTTTGTGCAAGACGAGCTGCTCGCCGCCGCCGTTCCGAGGCGCATGTTCTTCTCTCGCGGTATCGTAAGTTCTATCTTCGTTTATCCATTTTTCCTCGGCTAATTCCCATCTGTCCCAATTAGGGTTGTATAGAATGCCATTTCGGGTTGATTCCTGTATTCGCGTAATGTATGGCGAGAAGGCCGACGGGGCTTGTATCCACTGCCGCGCCAAGAAGACCAAGTGCATTCAGACTCCCGGAAGATATTGTTTCGCGATGTCCGGTAAGTTCTCGTTTCCTGGAAAATTCTTCCGGGCTGACTTTTTCCTTTGTGAAGATCGAATTCTGGCTCTCTTCAACGAGCAGTGGATCCTCTTCGTTGTTTTGGAAGCCCTCCGCGACCAGCATCGTTTCGCCGGTGGCGGGCTCGCCGAGTCGATCCTCAGTCTTCTTTTTCGTTGGATTCAAGCCTCCCGTGGAATGGACGCGTCCGCGCTCGCGCGTCGTTCTTTCTACGACCTTCTCGCGCAGGCGCCGTCTTCCGCCTCTCCTGGGAAACCAGAGTTTGCGATGCCTCCTGGTCTTGCGAAGGCCTTCGAACCGGTGGAAGGTGGAGTCGGGGCCGGCGGCGGGGAAGAAGGGGAAGAAGTCGAGGATGTGGTGGACGTCGAGGTGGCCGTTGGCGCGAAACGGAAGGGGAAACGTCGGGCTTCTAACGAACCCGCAGGTACGTCCTCGGTAGTTTTGCTTTCCAAACCGCCGCCAACGTTTCTTAACCAGGGAATTCCGCCAAGCGTCGCCCTCACCGCGAGACGTCTATGCCCTCCATCGTTATTATGCAGGAGCAGGGGACGGACGCCGCCGATGGTGGGGAACGCGGGGCCCAGACCTCGCCCGTCGAGCCACCTCCATCGTATTCGGGGCACGCCGCCGTGGATTCGTCGCCCCCGCCCGACTCGATGCTGGGTACGAAGTCTTCCCTCTCCCGTGCCTCATCTCCGCGCGTGCGCTCGCCGCCCTCTTCCTCGTTGTCGGGCGCCCTCGGCATATTCGGTCCTGCGAACAAGTTGCTTTGTCCTCCTGACGTTCCTCGCGGCTCCGTCCCGCCCGTCGCCCATCTCCCGCTCGCCGCTGATCGCCTCTTCGATAGTGACACCGTCGTCGCTCCTCCGGAAAATCCTTCCGGCGCGGTCTCAGGTGGCGGCGTCGTTCCTCCTTCCGCGGACGCGATGGATACTGGTTCGTAGGGGTCCTGGTGCTTCGTGGAAGTTTCGTCCGGGCTGCTTTTTCGGATTCCCGCATACTCTTGATTCGTTTCCCTTGAACTCCCCAGCCTTGCTGGGTCGAGCAGAGGTGTACCCGTGTTTGATTCTCGTTGCTGTCGTCTCCGTCGTCGCCCTGTTGGGCCTGTATTGTATTCTGTGTTCGCGTTTTGTTCGTCCTCGGTAGTTTTGCTTATTGCCGCAGCCACCAGTAGTAGTAGTATTGTTTTCTTGATGTTCCAATGAACAACGTCTTGATTCTTCCGTGTGAACCTAAGGGAAAGAGAAGGAAAAAATAAAAGAATTTGTCCAATTTTGCCCTTCGAGTGAATTTCGACGCGTCGCGTCGCGGTCACGTGCGGCTTCAAGGAGCGCGAATTTTCGAGTGAAACTCGAATATTCGCGGTTTCCTTTTAGCGCCTTGCCTAACCAAGCTCCCGTGGCGCAGGGTGCGTTCTTCCACCGAATATTGACCTTCAGAGACACCTTTTCTGGAAGATCTAGGGTTCGATTCCCTACGGGGGCATAGCTGATGTTTTTGATGGACTATTTCTCATTTCCTTTTCTTTGGTAGTCCTAGATTGTGGATCTTTCTCCTTGTGATGTCGCCTCGATGGCGCAGGGTGCGTGTCCTCCCTGATCGTCATTTGTATTTCTTCATCGAGGATCTGGGGTTCGATTCCCCGTCGAGGCCTACTGTTTCACCTTGTCCCTCAGGGACGAGGTGGAATGATCCCCTTTTTCTTTTTCTTTTCTTCTTTGTAGCCGGATAGTTTAGTTGGCCCGCGAGAGCCTTTAGTCCATGTCTTGTATGTCGAGTATTTATTGAAACTCCCTTGTGAGCATCGCCGCGATGGCGCAGTGGTGCGCATCCTCTGAACTTCGCCAATAGGGTATCATTTCTGAGGACCCCGGGGTTCGACTCCCCATCGTGGCATACTGATCCTGCCTCCTCTCCGAGAGGAGGCGGGATCGTACCCTTTTGGTGAAATACCCTTTGGTGAAATGCTCGAAGCCCGTTCTTTATCATAGCCTCAGTGGCACAAGGTGTGCGCCCTCTCCAAGTAGGTGTTGGATTTCTTCTCTGAGGAGCTCTGGGGTTCGATTCCCCACTGAGGCATGGTATTGTCGGATTTCATGTTTTTCGCATCGTGGAGGTTTCGGCTTGTTCTTTTCGTGTCGGGAGATTCTAGCCGGAACACGCGCCTCCTTGGTTTCCCAGACGTTCGGGAATCGGTCGCGCAGGACATGTCCTTGGCCTCCCTGGAAAGTTTTTCCCGACTGGGTTTAAGTGCGCTATTCCGGTTTTCTCCCCGGGAGCCCCTTTCCGGAAGTTTCGTCCAGAGGAGGTTTCCGAGTTATTCTTTCGTTGGTTCATTTCTTCGGGGCGATTTCGGCGAGGGAGACGAAAAAGGGAGTCGAAGTTTTCGGAGGAAAGAATGAAATTGAAGTGAGAGTTTAGGCGAAATTACAGGGTTTTTGGCATAATGGATTCTGGAAGTCCGTGTCTTGCTTCATCCTTTTCTACTTCTTCTTATTCAGGGATCGCTGACTGCCCCTCGAATTGTCTCCTCCCGTTGTCTCCCCATTGCGGTTCCTTTCCTTTCTTGGGTTTGGGTATTTTCGGCTCCACGAAGCTGGTGACAGGAACCCTAATTCGGGATCGTGGGAAATATGGGATTAGTCGGAAGGCGGCGACCGGCGTTTTGGAGACGGCGCCGTTCATTTCCGCGATTACGTATGAACCCTCCGATTTGCGCTGGATGACAACCATGGGCCCCGAATAGCGTGGTTTGGCTTTTCGCGACCACTCGTTTTCAACGGAGGAGTTTCGTAAAAGTACGAGGGAGCCCGAGGGGAAGTCGAAATCCTTGATCTTCTTTTTGTTGTCCTTTTCCCACTGCCTGGCGCTTTTAACCCGGGATTCGTACACCTTGCTTCGCAAGTCGGACAATTCTTCCGGACGTTTCATCAACTGCAGTGCTCGCATCCCGATCAAATCCTCGGTAGAAAGTTGTTCTCCGGAGATTTTGATCATGTATGTGGCTTCAACGATGTCGAAGGGAAATAATGGCTCGACCCCATGAGCAAGGTAGTAGGGGGAGTATCCGGTGGATTTCTGGATGGAGACACGCTCCGCCCAAAAGATGTAGAAAATCCGTTCCGTCCATAGGTCGAGGTTGCCTTCGCAGGCTTTCGAGATGGCTTCCCGCACGTCGTAGTGCCGCCTTTCCACGATGCCGTTGGCCCTGGAATTGTAGCCGGAGATGCGGATATGGTTTATCCCGTACTTCTTTGAGAGCCATTCCACCGCTTTGATCCAAGCCGCTCCGTTGTCTGTGACGATTTCTTCGACGGCGCCCCATCTACACAACACTTCCTCGAAGATGAAGCAACCCAGGGAGTAAGCGTCCTCGTTTTCCAGCATCCGCCATTCGGGCCAACTGCTCAAAGAGCACCGTCCCTGGGCGAGATATCGGTATCCGTTTGCGCGAGGTAGCATCATGGTGTCTCCGTGGAATTTGTGGAAGAGGGGTAGGGGCATGGCGACAATGGGGGGAATGTTTATACGGAGTTTGGACCGGATTTGGCACTCGTGGCACGTCTTTAGAAACCATTTAAGGTCTTTATCCATGACTGGCCACCAAAACCTATCCATTAGGCGCTTCCGGGTAATATAGAATCCCTTGTGTCCCAAGTCGTCGTGGACCTGTCGTAGGACCGACGCTCGTTTCTCGGGAGGCAGCACAAGTTTGTGTTCGTGGTGCTCGTCCCTGCGCCAGAGGCCTTCATCCAAGATGAAGTATTTGCTGGCTTTCCTGGCGAATCGTTCAAATTTAACGTTGTCGTCGGACATTTCCTCCGGCCTCTCGCGTCTCTTCAGGAAAGCCTCTATTTGGACCAGCTGGGCATCGGCTGCGATTGACTTCTCGTCCCGGGGAATTTCGAATTCGATGTCGTCGATGAGTTTCATATATACTCGAACCGGTGGCTGTGTTTCGAGAGCGGGAGTAGGTTGGAATTTCTGTCCGGTTGTTTCTCCGGTCGCGGGCCTTCCGTTTATGAGGAGCTGATGGGCGGGGATAACCTCCATTATCGAAGCTTTCTTCCGCCTTCCCCAATTCATAACCTGGATCGCGAATCCACATGCCCGGTCGATCCATTCATCAACGTCTTCCTCTTGCTCCGGATCTTCGTCCGCCGGTTTCCTTCTGGACAATCCGTCCGGGGTATGGGTTGCTCCTGGCGTATGTTCTAGTTCAAAGTCGAATAGCAAGATGCCCGCTATCCATCGGTTTGCCGCTGCGTTGGGTTGTATGTCGGGATTGTTGAGCATGCCCTTGATGTATTTGGCGTCCACTCGCACGAGGAGGTCTTTGACTCCGACGATGTAAAGTCGGTAGGCTTTCAGGGCTCGGAACAAGCCGTAGAGTTCCAACTTTGCTTGTGAATAACGGGATTCCCGCTCATTCCAGGTGACTGATCCGAATCTGGAAGGATATTCCAGACCATCGGCACCAACTTGTGAGAGGATAAATCCAGCTCCTCGGAAGGAAGAATCTACCGCCATAATCACCCGTCTGCCGCACGCGTAGTCGATTTGCCGTAAAGCCGGCGAGTTGATTAGCAAGTGCTTTAGCCGATCCATCGCGATTTGTTCGGTGCTGCCAAAGATGAATGGGGCATCCTTCCGTAATAGTCTTGTAAGTGGCGTGGCGATCTCGGCGAAATTGTCCATGAAGATCCTCATTAGCCCGAGCGTCCCTAAGAACGCCCGTACGTCCGTAAGATCTTCGCAGGGTGGCCAATCACGGATTTTCTGAACTTTGGACTCGTCCGGAGTCCTTCCTTCGATACTGCACATGTGCCCAACGACTTTTATCTTCGGGACCGCGAAAAAGGACTTTTTCGCGTTGAATGTTCCGCCTGCGTGTCTTATACGTTGGAGAATGCGGTTTACGTTCAAGAGGTGTTCCCAGACAAATCTGCGAATACCCTTGTTTTCGGGGATGGTTTCGAAGTCTCCGTTTTCCAGAAGGTGATACGTAGTCGGTCCTTTGACGGGCGTATCGTCCACAAAGGGTTGCGTAATGTGGGGAATTTCGTCCTGGAGGATAAAGTTTACGTCTCCTTGTTGAATTTGAACGGAGTTCGTATATCCTTGGGGTAACCTGGTAAGCCTGAGAGTTCCGAAGGGTCCTTGAAAAGTCGTAAAGTCCCGGGATGCTATGTCCAGCATTCTGTGATCGAACCCAACGAATAGATCGAACATCCCGTATATGGCGCAACCTCCGAAGGATTCGGCGTAAACTTCCACGATTGGCGGGCAGCCGGCGTCTTTTACGACCACTCCGTTTAGCGGTTGTAGATTGTGGACCAGACGCAGGGCGCCGTTTGATTTAGGTACCACGAACCAATTGGAGCGATACGAGGAGCTCGAGGGTTCGTAAACGCCCGTTCTGACCTTCCCGCGTATTATTTCCACGACCTCGTCTCGTATCCCCGGTGGTATAGGAATGTTACGTTCCTGCCAAGGCGTGTGGGCAAGCACCGGAATTTTGACTGGCTCGAAATAATCTTCCCGGAAGTGTCCTCTCTCCGACTCGTCCCATGCGAAGGCCATTTCGTGATTGCGGATTACTTCATGGACCAGTCTTTCTTCATCATCCCATAGAAACCCGTCGGGGTTTACGTTCATTTCCTCCGCCCTTTGTTTGGTGTATCTTTCTCCTTCTCGGAAGGGTCCAGGCCGAGGATTCAGCACCGGCATGCCCTCCAACGGATCAGACGGGAAGTGCCGAATGACGCGAAATTCTTCCGGCAACGTCGCCGATACCGAATGCACCCTGTCGGCCATCGGCTTGTACTTTTTCTTCGGCTTCTTTTTCTTCTTCGGCTTCTCTTTTTCTTCCTCCGTTACTTCGTTTATGAAAGCGTGCGCTTTTTCGTCGTAAGTGTAGACCTGCGCCAGACAATACCCCAGGTACCGGGGCGAGATCTCCCACTGAATCGTTTGGTCATGAATAAAAACTCGTTTGCAGTCGGCTGTATTAGTGCCTATGGGGGAATATAGAAGCATAGGAGATGTGAATCGATGGAATGATAGTTCTGGGATCTTGTTTTCTCTTCCTGGAACTTCTGTCCAGGAGCGCCTTTTCTCACTAATCCGCCAGAAATTTGTCGATACCGTAGGTTTTCTTGGAGGGCTCGGCACCGGACTGCCCTCCCTCATGGAAAAACCATATCGTAATCCTCGTCCTCGACGTTGACGACGAAAGGCAAGGTTTCCGCGAGGGGTTCGGTGAAGCTGACCGACTTCGGAGGTTTTATCCGGGTAGCCACGGTTTGAACATTCCCCGTATTTGGGCAAGTTAACGTGAGCTCCTGCGAACCGTCTGTATAATCCTTGGTGTGGCATTCGGTAAATCGGAAGAAGGGCCTGCCGACCAAAATGTCGAATGGCGCGCCGTCTACCACATGGACCTGAAGGTGGAGATCTATTCCGCCAAGAGAAAATTTGAGGTTCTCTACCACCCCTGCCGTTACCGATTGATTCGAGTCGGCGGATTCCATCGTTAAGGTCTTTTCCGGGGAAAGGGAGACTCCCAGGCTTTGCCAGACGTTACGATTCATCGCCACAATTTCCGACCCTTGGTCGAGCGTGCAGGTAATTTTGTGCGTGTCGTTTACTAGCATGTCGATCACCCTTAGCGAGTCTATTGGGGATGCTGTCAAAAGAAAGGTATTGAACGTTCTTCCTTGGGAGTAGGAAAGCGTTAAAGCCTCTTTTTCCTCGAACATCCCAGATTCAACCGTGGGAAGACGTCGGGTAACGGTGTTCTCCTTATAGAACCTCCGGATGTCCGGTGAAATGGCCAATAATTCCTCGTTACTGATAGTGACCTGCGAACCCAAGGTTCGCTGAATCACTTTTTGAATCAGCTCCGGGTTTTCAATAGGCGCTTGGTATTTGAACGCGGGTTGCGGAGGAATCGTCCGGTCAGAGACTGCTGGCGGAAGCGGCCTAGGCGGGTTAGCTGCGGTTGGTCTGGGTCCGCCGGCTGGCGCCTGGTTTGTCTTCATGGCCGATTTCGGTGGCGGACCTTTCTTGACGATTTC